CCCCCAGCCACCCACCCCCGGTGATGAGAGCAGACGTCAGAAGACGGCCCTATGAATATTGATGCGGAGTCTGCTTCACAGAAGAACAGAAGGAGACAAGATGGCGCCCTGTAGGATTGTGTGAACGCGCAGAGCCGGACGGTTTGCCGGAATTCCGTGCGGCGGAGGGACGCATCGCCAGGTAAGCGCTTTCTGTCCGGGAGGCTGTGTTCCTCCCCCGCTGCCGTCCATCTTTGTGCATGTGGAAGCCGGGGCTCAGCTGTCGTATGTGAGAGGCACCGTAATAAGGAGGGAGGTATTAATAAGCCTTATCCAACATGGCTGACATTTTTATTTTCTGTTTTTTTTCTTCTTTATAGTTACGAAGTACAGCTAGCTTTGTCGTTTTTCTTTTTTTTTTTTCTAAGCCTCCCCCCCCCCCTTTATTTTTTCTCTGAACATTTTCTCTTAACGTTTTAGGAAACAGAGACATTTAGACATGACTGTACGGCACTCCCCCGGTCATTATTCACAGATTTTGAGGTAGAGTCTCTGTATGCTGCCTGTTCGTATAGGACTCCACTTTATTTGCGCAACCTGTGAGCTGAAACTTCTCTGGATTTTGGGGAAACCTTTGTCTTTAACAGCATATACACGCTTTTCTGAGTGTCTGAAGCTCTCTTCCTTCCCCCCTCTGCTCTCCCTTCCTCTGGTTATTTTCTGAGTGCTCGTGTGCCGCCGCTTCGGTTAAAAGGCTGGGGGGTAGCTTGTAAATACAAAAGTGCATGGAGCCCCCCACTTTCCCCCCAGACAGTCCTTAGCACTCCGTGTCCAAATAGCAGGGGTAAGTAGCGTCACTGCTAGCTTTGTGCGTCCGACGAATGATCCCCCGGCACACAAACACAGACACACAAATTCATCAGCGAATGACAAGCAGACACAAAGAGTAGCACAGTCCAAAAGGGAGCGTGTGTGTGTATTTCTATGTGTGCGTGTGTGAGGGTCATGTATATATTACAATGTCCACACAATGTAATAAAAACATGTTACTTTGACATTGTGGGGACCATATTTTCGGTTCCCACAAAACACAGTTTTATTAATTGCAAAAAAACAATTAATATGTCAAAAGTCTTGTATTTTGTTTGGTTACTTATGGTTAACTTTAGGGCTGGGTAGGGGTTAAGGCTGTCATTGTTGGGATTAGAGTTTTGCCCATAGGAATGAATGCAGAGTCCCCAGAAAGATATGAGTACAGGGGTCTGTGTGTGTGTGTGTGTGTGTGTGTGTGTGTGTGTGTGTGTGTGTGTGTGTGGAGGCTGGCAAGGGGAGGATTGTGATGATTTAGCACTACAAGTTCAGAAGCTTTAAAGGAGGGCTGGGGGAGGGGGGGTACAGAAAGAGGAATTTGGAACAGGTTTCTCCAGCCTCTCAGAAGTTATTTTTTATTTTTTTATTAAATCACATTTCATAACTCCCCCCCGACCTGTTTGCTGATTCGCTCCATATGCCTCAAAGTAAAAAAAAAAAAGAATAGTGTTTATTTCCTGAACGGACTTCATGACAGTCTATACGTCCTCATTAACGGAAATCGCGTAACTTTGTGTGCTCACTGACTGCGTGTGAAGTTTGCATTCTTGGGCTCTGTTGTCGCGGTTACCAGATGTACCGGTTCGCCAACGTTAATTTACTGACAAAGAAAATATGACACTTAGGACAGGAAAACTGCTGTGTTTCATGAAAGGCTGTCAAAAATAATGCTCATTAGACGTAAATGATCATTTTTATAGCTACTATAAAAGTAATGCAATTCACGACGTAAATCACATGATTAAAGCATTTTTTGTGGGAATGAGTCTTTGGCATTTGTAATCTGTTTTGCTCGAGTAATGCTTGAGGTGTAAAAGTGACCCTCTCAGTGGCACCTGCACCGCTGTTACTCCACGCTGTTACTCCACGCCGTCACCCCGTGCCGTCACCACTGACCTCGGACCGTAAAGGAGAAACGTTAGAAACCCTGACTGCAGACAGTTTACATAACAAAGTGAGGGCCTCACAGACCTGTGGAGAGGGCCCACCAACAGGGGCCACTTTCCATCACAATACACATAAAGGCATTAGTGGGGAAAACAGGATCACAGGACCAGTAATGAGGTGAGGCTGATGTCATTAGGCAGGTAGGTAGGAGACAACACACATGTTAAACACACCTTTAACATCCGCCAGGAGGAACGAGGTGCAAAAGGCCACTGCTTCACGTTCTAAGGTATTAGCTAATACGTTAGTATACACTTCAGAGCCCATGGGAGGGGGATATGACAGATAAGTATGCTACTTGTTTGTGTATTTGGGTTGTGTATTCCGAAGTCCCTGTGTCGTGATTGGCTGCCTGCAACCGGAGGGGCGGGTGCTGGTGTGTGTGTGTAAAATGCAAATGTTTGCGAGGGGAACACAACAAATGTGCATGTAAATAAACTCTTCATGCCTGTCAATATAAAACGGAGGATCTCCTTTAGCGGCAAAAGCTTCTCAAAAAACAATGGATCAATATACAGAAATAGCAAAGATGTACTGTGCCATGAGTTGACGGGCAGAGTCTTAAAGGGACGGCACCTAGTAAAGGAAATTCGGCCTTGTTGTGATTTTAAAAACTTCTGATATTCTTAAGATCTCCTTTTTAATTACTATTTCCATCAAATGCTTCCACAGTTTTTCTGAGAAATGGGGCGGTCCCATCGTCACCCATGCCGCATGTGCTGTGCGAACAGTCTTTGTTTTGATATAGTGAGCGTGTCGTTGGCAGCCAGCCACACCATGTCAGCATTACTCACGAGGAAAGATCTGTGTGTGTTTAGACAAGTCACGGTGCGAGCGCAAGAGTCCCTTAATTGGCAAGGTTTACATATTGTACTGTGTTTCACCAAGTTAACATATTTGGGATTGATGAACTGTAAGAAAAAAATGTCCTACAAAACTCTGCATGGGCCAAAATCTCAAACTTAAAGTCGAAACAGATCAGTCTTTTACCACAAAAAAATGTGTGAAAAAGTTTGTCCGTGACAAGAAAAAGATGCACATTTGTTTGTGTTCATGTTGACTGAAGCAGATTCTGAAGATTCTGGAAGCTCGCAGCCACTGTCAACTCAATACATTTGACTGTTTGATAGTCCCCACATGGACTGAAGAGTCCGGTTCAGTTGGCTGCAGATGAGTTGCAGTGTGCTCACTTGAGTCGCTTCAGGTGACTGCCTGCCTTCCTGCAGGAAGTATCTGTTTGTGTTTATAGCAAAAGAAGCTGGTAGCTGTTGCCTGGCAACCATACAGACGCACGTTAGAATTGGAGGGAAAAAGTTGAGGACCTGAAAGGAATCCTGGGATAGCAGAGAAAATGCATCTTTGACCCAGATCTGTAGTTTACAGTCAACGGCAGTCATGAATGAACTAGTGAAGTTATGAAAGGAGTGAATAGAGATGAAGAGATGAGTGGGTCATATCCGCACTCGTAAGCGGCAGGCCGTTTGCTTGGGAGAGCCCTCCTCCTCGGGGAATGCCGTTTTCCTGAAGCCACGGCGAATTGTTGCTGTTTCCGCCAAAACTCTGCCAATAATGCTCTGTCACCATGGCGCTCCACAACCACGCTGTGCGTCACAATGGGCCAGTCCAACCCCTGACCCCGCTATCCCAGGGTTCATATTTCGGACTGGAGGCCAAACAGTGACACCCGAGAACAATTCTGAACACTGACCCCAAACAAAGGACGCACAGCGTGGGGGAGGTTAAGAGCCGACCAAATTGCTTAGTAACCAGTCAATGGGTGTAGTAACCAGGCCCATCTCAGGGGACGGACTATGAACTCATTTCACAGTTACTCATTCGGGCCATTCTGCTGTCATGTGCAAGAGGCAGGCAGTGAAAAGGGGTATCTGCTATTGAAATCCTAATATAGCTTGTGCACTTTTTATTTCCCTCCTTTCATCAGTCCATATGGTTTTACCGTTTGGTGATAAAGTTCCCAAACAAATACGGAGCAGATGACAACTGACGCTAACCAGGCGCACGAGCTACCCCGGCGGGTATGGCTGAGAAGGACGTGGCCACTGAAGGAGGCATTCCCCAGTTCAGACTCGCTATGGTCTGGGTGCGATTCCTGCGAACGCGTCTAATGTGAACAGAAAGAAACACCTGAAAACTCGCAGTTCTGACGAGTGAACGACGGGCCGGCGTGAATGGTGGCTGTGCGGCGGCGGCGCTAATCCCCACCCCGCCCACGGGTCTCTCGCAGCTTGAATCGCGCCGAGTAACGTAACCTGCTGACCTCTGATTACGAGTTACGGATTAATTACAGGGTTAGCCAGCCGAGGCGGATTTGCTTAAAAAAAAAAAAAAAAACGGCAACCAGGGGTCCATGAATATACCAGAAACCCTCAACCGCCCACTGACATACTAATGAAGACCCTTACAATGAGGATAATGGGCAGAGGCGAGATGTATTGGCCCCGGGCGAGGATATCAGTGCCAGGGTTTGGCCCACGGGGAGAGCCGTACAAGGGTGAGCCGGAGCTTCCCCCCGCCCCCTGGCCCCACGTGGCGGGCCGTGCACGTGGCCGCTCTGTTTACCAACAGTGTCCCGGAATTCCGGAAAGGCCGTTACGTAACTGACTCTCGGAAGAGGACCTTTTGCTCTTCGCCGGCGCTGGGCGCGGGACATTCGAGCGCTGCGGGGACCGCTGTGGGCAGCGACGGAGACGGCTGCGGTGAGCACTGGTGGTGCATAGGGGGTGGAAAGAGCGTGGGGTGGGGGGGGGGGGGGGCGGATTTCCCCTTACTGGCCCAGAGAGTGAGCAGCAGACGTCCCGGGCTGTGGTATGGCGTCAGGCTTTTGCGATACATGGCGTGAGCCAGCGGTAATGCTCGTACGTAGCGGGGGGATGGTGCGTGGAGAACGTCATGGTAAACTGCCGTACCTTCATCTCATGCAGGTACACTCCCCTTCTGCTGTCACTGTTTAATTAGGAGCTCCTGGAACGTGAGGAATGGTAGGAACGTCTCGCCGTAGTTTTCGATACGTGGGCTGAGTCTGAAAGCATTCTTCACATCCGGGGTGGGGGGGGCGGGGGGTTTTTTCAAAACATGAAAAAAGAAAAACACTGGCCAAACAAATAACGGTGAATACGGGAAATCTTCAGAGCGGCACGCCGTATC